GGAGGAGGAGCAGGTGAGGAGGAGGAGGAGCAGGTGAGGAGGAGGAGGAGCAGGTGAGGAGGAGCAGGTGAGGAGGAGGAGGAGCAGGTGAGGAGGAGGAGGAGCAGGTGAGGAGGAGGGTGGTGGCAGCAGGTTTGATGAAGCTCCTCATTCATTTCCCTGAGAATAAAAACAAGAGAATCTTTAAAAACTGATGTAGAAGATAGAAACGCTGAAGAAGTTCCTAAAGTTAATTAGAACTTTCAGTTTTTTGAAGACCACCTGATCAGGTGACGGAGCGAGTTCACGATTCTTTGGACTTTTGGGGCTGAAGAGATGTTTGTGGTCCAGCTGGTTTTATCGTTTAGGATCATGATTCACACCAGAGGTTCCCACAGCTGGACTCAGGTGCCACCACGAGCCACCAAACATCAGCTGGAGGGTTTTCAGAAACTAAATGTCAAAGTTCACGGAGGTCAGAGGTCACACACCCAAACTCCCTGACTTCCAGTCTGAGCTTCCAAACAGGAAGTGAAGCTCAGTTTAACTTGTCAAGTGTCCTCCAACATGGCCGCCCCAGGCCGCTCGGCTGACGAGTTCAGGGACAACCGGACCCGGAGGCAGGTGTGAGCAGAACCAGGAGGTTTAAATCCAGTTCCCCAAAGGACCACATGTGGCCCCTGAGCCTCCACTTGCAAACAGTTTTAAATAAAGGTCCAGGTTTGGAGCCATGATGGAGGTTTGGTTCTGCTGCCATCAGGTGGGCAAAGTTTGGAACTGGTTCTGAGACCATCAGTGGGTCTAGGTGGGTCCACGCTCCCTGTCAGAACCTGGATCAACTGGTTTCACTTCATTTAATGTGTTGATTGGACAGGAAGTGACATCACAGCCACAACTAAGCACAAAGCAGGAAGTTTCACTCACCTCCATTTGGACCAGAACCCGAGGAAGGTCCAAGGAACCTCATGAGGAACCAGGCGGTGGTCTGAGCTGATCCATCAGTGGACTCAAAGACCCAGCTGGTCCGCTCCGTGATTCGGGTTCCTGAGTCCAGATCAGTCCATCAGGGACAGTCCTGACAGGACCAGGATCGGGTCAGGACTTTGGTTCTTGGACCCATCAGGGTCTGCAGGTTCTACACCCAGATGTTCCTTCAGACCTTTTGAACTTTTCCTCCAGTTTTATTGAAAACTTAAAACAAATTTAAAAGTTTTTATCATCAGAAAATAAAGTTTTTATGTTTTAAACAAAACTGAATTTAATTTATTGTTTTTTTAACTTAGTTTTTAATTTTTGTTTTCACGTCAACTTTCTCATCTGAACTTTTTATTAATATTTTCATAAATTATTTAAAGTTTTGTTTTAATCAGAACACGAACGTTTAAATTATTTTAACTTTAGAAGCAGAAAAAAAAGAAAATCTTTTTGGCCTTCTTTGTTGCCGTACGGAAAACTGAAAATAATTTATTCATTTTATTTTTATACTTTGCTGAATTGATGGAATTTTACTGTTTTAAACCATTTTTATTTTCTCTTAAATCTCAGCTGATATGTGAACTAATGAGCTCTGAGATGCTGAAATGTTCCTGAGAATTTATTAGAAGTGATTATTAATGTTGTTGTTGTTGTTGTTTGTTGTTACTAAATTAATTTTAAACTCATTTCTGATTCTGGTTCTATTAAATCTTATGTTCAAACAATCAGCTGTAATTAGTGAAAATAATTATTTTGATTATGTTAAATAATTAAATCTCTGTTCAGGCTGTAATTATAAACATAAATGTTTGTTGTTTGTTTGTTTTTTTTTCTGAATGAAACAAACAATATGGAGGCTCCAACAACATGGATGTCTGCAGATGATGGACAGTTACCATGGAAACTGGATCTGCTTTGATCTAAGAGCGGCCACATGAGGGCGCTGTGAGTCCAAAAACCTGAAGCCTGAGCAGCACTAAACCCTGGGTTCTGACTGACAGGAAACAGAGAAACTGAACCCTGGTTCTGACTGACAGGAAGCACATAGAAACTGAACCCTGAGCTCTGACTGACAGGAAGCACATAGAAACTGAACCCTGGGCTCTGACTGACAGGCAGCAGAAAACATTAAACCCTGGGTTCTGACTGACAGGTAACGGTCAGTCAATAAACCCTGGGTTCTGACTGACAGGTAGCAGAAAACACTAAACCCTGGGTTCTGACTGACAGGTAACGGTCAGTCACTAAACCCTGGGTTCTGACTGACAGGAAGCACATAGAAACTGAACCCTGGGCTCTGACTAACAGGCAGCAGAAAACACTAAACCTTTTGTTCTGACTGACAGGCAGCAGGCATACACTAAACCCTGGATTCTGACTGATAGGAAGCAGAAAACACTAAACCCTGGGTTTTGACTGACAGGCAGCAGAAACACTAAACCCTGGGTTTGGTCTGATGGGATGCGGGATCAGGTTATTTTGGATGTGGATTGGGTCTTTGGACTCTTAGAACTGGATCAGGAGGAGGCCTGATTGTTGTCATGTCCTTGGGAGACTGCCTTAGGTGGATCCCAGAGTCCCCCTTCCTATGAAAACAGAACCAGGAGCTGCAGTTTGAGCGTGCACATGCGCACGGTAACGAAGGTGGTGCTCAGACGTCAGTCAGTTTCTCGCCGTAGGTCTTGTTCGGGCTGCAGTTGGTGTACTTGATGGAGTCCGCGTCCTCATAGTCCAGCAGGTCGGACTTGGACAGGGACGGCCTGCTGGACCCTCTGAAGGGCTGCTGCTGGCCGCAGGTCACGTGCGTGTACTGGAACTGGTCCTCGTGCTCCGTCTCGCGGTGGTAGAAGTAGTTGAAGTTGGACACGATGACCGGAACCGGAAGCGCGATGGTCAGGACCCCGGCGATGGCGCACAGCGAGCCCACGATCTTCCCGCCGATGGTGACCGGACACATGTCCCCGTAGCCCACCGTCGTCATGGAGACCACCGCCCACCAGAAGGCATCCGGGATGCTGGAGAACCCGGAGTCCGGGTCGTCGGTCTCGGCAAAGTAGACCGCGCTGGAGAAGAGGATGACTCCGATGAAGAGGAAGAAGATGAGCAGCCCCAGCTCCCTCATGCTGGCCTTCAGGGTCTGACCCAGGATCTGCAGACCCTTGGAGTGGCGGGACAGCTTGAAGATCCTGAAGACCCGGACCAGGCGGATGACCCGCAGGATGGCCAGGCTCATGGCCTGCTGGCCGTTCCCCTGGTGCTCCGCCAGCTCCAGACTCAGGGTGATGAAGTAGGGCATGATGGCCACGATGTCGATGGTGTTCATCAGGTTCTTGAAGAAGCCCGCCTTGCTGGGACAGGCCAGGAACCGGACCAGCAGTTCAAAGGAGAACCAGATGATGCACAGAGTCTCCACGATGAAGAACGGGTCCGTGAACGGGTTCAGCCGGGTCCCGTGAGAACGGGTCCCATTGACCACCAGCAGAGGCTCCTCGGACATCCGGACCTCCTCCCGGAACTCGGGCAGGGTCTCCAGGCAGAAGATGACGATGGAGATGAGGATGACCAGAACCGAGACGATGGCGATGGCCCGGGCTGGTCCAGAACTCTCCGGGTACTCGAATAGGAGCCAGACCTGGCACTGGAACTGGTTCTGGGGCAGAGGTTTCTCCTCCTCCTTGATGAAACCTTCATCCTCCTTGAAGTTCTCGATCACGTCCTCCCCCAGCTCGTAGAACCGGATCTCCTCCATGAAGATGTCCACTGGGACATTGACGGGTCTCCGGAGCCGGCCCCCGGACTGGTAGAAGTACAGGATGGCGTCAAAGCTGGGCCGGTTCCGGTCCAAGAAGTACTCGTTCCTGAGCGGGTCGAAGAAGCGCATCCGTTTCCGGGGGTCCCCCAGCAGGGTGTCCGGGAACTGGGCCAGGGTCTTCAGCTGGGTCTCGAAGCGCAGCCCCGAGATGTTGATGAGCACGCGCTCGCAGCAGTCCTGGTTCTGCTCCTGGTTCTGGTCCGGGTCCGGGTCCAGCACGTCCTGCGCGGCCAGTGCCGTGGACTCGTCCAGGTTCTCCTCGGACACCACGGTCATGGTCCGGTCCGGTCCGAGCCCCCTGCGCGTGCCCGACAGTCCTGCTCTGTCACGGTTCTGGTTCTGTCGGCATGGTTCTGCCCCCCTCCTCCCTGTGGTCCAGACTCGGGTTCGGTTTCAGCCGCCGCGTTTTAAGCAGCCCTCTCCGAGCCGCCGCGCGTGCACGTTCTCTTACTGAAAACAAATAAAACACGCGCGCACATGTCCATGAGGAAACTGATGAGTTCTGGTACCAGAACCAACGTCAGGTTCTGGTGCGCGTAAAGAAGCCGCTGGTTCCGACCCAAACAGGTGAGAGCGCTGAGCACGCGCTCCAAGTTCACTCCAGAGGCGCCATCCAACCATCATCCATCCTGTGAGCCGTCCGTGACGGCGCACTGAGGAGGACACGCGCGTGTCGGGTGTGATGTCAGTGTGCGCGTGCTGCAGCTGCAGGCGCGACTCAGCAACAAGTAAAAAAAGAGAAGTTTCTGAGGAGCCGCTGTGATGACGTCACAACGTCTGGAATGCTGGGGGTCCAGGTTCGTGTCCCTCTTTTAGTCCAAACATCAAGACAAAACGTCCGCAGTGGTGCAGTGGTTAGAGCTGCCGCCTCACAACAAGAAGGTCACATGTTCTCCCCTGGTTTCCTCCCACAGTCCAAAACACCCAGAGAGAACGTCTCTGTGTCCCTGTTGGACTGGAGACCTGTCCGGGTGTCCTCGAGATGGACTGGAGACCTGTCCAGGTGTCCTCGAGATGGACTGGAGACCTGTCTGGGTGTCCTCGAGATGGACTGGAGACATGTCCGGGTGTCTTCGTAGAACCTCCTAGTTCCTGATCACAACTTTGGAAGGTCTCGGGTTTAAGTCCGGGTTGGACTCGGTAGAAAAATCTGGGTCTTTGAGGACCCTCCAGGTTTCTGGTCTCCCGTGAGTCCAGTTCGTTATTCAGACCCGACTGGTTTGACTCAGGCTCAGCCTCCTCATGTCTGAACTCAAACCCGTCCACGTGTTCCTGGGGGGTTAAAGACGGTTCCAGTTCTCCAGCTGCTCCTCGTCCTCCTCTGGTTCCTGTCGGGTCAGAACCATCCCATAATGTCTCATCAAACATCTCATTTAACTGATGTCCTCTGAGACGTCCAGCAGCTGAAGGACAGCTAATTCTTATCATTTCTGCCTCTTCTAAACAATATCGATTCAAAACGATCTATTCAAACAATACATAAAACAACCAACCATAAAACTGATCACAGTTCATTATAATTCCATACATTATCCAACTTAAATATATTTCATCATTAATACATTCTTAATCTTTTATTAAATACAGCTAATGAATTCTCCTTTTTGATATCATTATCAAACCATTCCATAAACTAATTCCCTTGATCCAAATGGACGTGCCCTTAAAACTTGTTCTATATTTCATCTTTACAAAAATATCTGTTCTCTTTAAATTAGAACAACTATAACTTTTAACGAAATACACGTGTACGTTTGATGGTAAATGTTGGTTCTTGTACATAAATAATAGAATATTTTAATCCACCAAATCATAAAACTTAAGAGTTTTCAGTTGATAAAACAAAATACTTGAAGGATGGCGATAACGCTTTTTTGCGATAACTCTTTTTTGTAAATTAAAAATAGACTTGGTTGCAGTTTTACAAGCTGCACCTCAGATAGCAACACAATAAATCAAATGTGGCACAACAGTTGTATGGTACAGTGACACGATGCTTTATCAGTCAGACATGCTCGTACTTTATGCAGCGTTGCTGTAGACCTGGAAATTTTAGTTCTTACAACATTAATATGTTTTTCATGTCAATGTATCATCTATAATCACTCCCAGAAACTTTACTTCACTCACTCTTTCTATCACACCATCAATTTCAAAAGGAAAATCTATAGACGGCTTTTTTTTTTTAACTAAATATCATATAATTAGTTTTTTCTAGATTAAGTGATAATTTATTTAATTTAAACCAAGTATGAATTTTTACAAACTCAATCTTCATTAATTCAAACATCTGATTTAAGTCTTTACCCGAACAAAAGAAAGTAGTGTCGTCTGCAAATAAAACACTCTTGAGAATACTAGACACCTTAACTAAATCATTTACATACAAAATAAACAGCTTAGGCCCAAGAACTGAACCTTGAGGTACTCCACATGACACATTACACAAACCAGATCTAACCTCATCAATCTGAACAAACTGTTTTCTTCTGTTTAAATAGCTAGATGTCCACTGTATGGCTAGACCTCTAATACCATATTGTTTCAATTTTTCAAACAAAATATTGTGATCAATGGTGTCAAAAGCCTTTTTCAAATCAACAAATAAACTTACACAATATTGATTCTCATCCATCGCCGTAGTGACCTGTTCCATTAAACCCATCAGAGCCAGACATGTTGAATTATTGGAAATAAAGTCCAAATATGTGACCTTCATTCAGGCTGGTTCTGATCCGTAATTAAAGTTCAAGATTAGAAACATGTTCTTCACTGAAGCCCAGCACAAAGTCCGGACTTTGTCTTTTTTTCATATTGTCCCAGACTCTTATTTTGAAAGTATCTAAGCTTTATTTTGAAACTCCAAGTTCAGCCCTGTTCCTGTTTGTTTAATTCACCTTAAACTCAAACTTCTAACTGAACTGACCTCTGAGGGCGGCCATGTTGGCACCCCTGGATCACAGAATATCAGAATCAGCTGAGCCACTGGTTGCCATGGTGATACCCGCCTTTTCAGGGATGCAGTAGGCGGAGCTTGTAGCCATTTTGTATCGGACAAACTACAAACTGACAGACGGTCTCTGTGTGAAAACTGTCTGGTGGATCAAAACCAACCCGTGAGCAGCAGGAGGTTCTGATGGACGGTTCTACTGGGTTTTACTTTGTTCTGTGTTCTGCTACCAAACGTCAGAGCTCACTGTTCCTGGTCCAGATGAAGGTTTTGATGGTTTCATGATTGACATTTGACAATGTTACCACTGGAGACTTTTACTGCTTTTAGTAACTCAACTCATGGATTACATTTTGTGTCGGCCTGTTTGAAATAGAACATTTAAATGTAAAGATTCAAATTTAAAGATTTAAATTTAAAGATTCAAATTTAAAGATTTAAATTTAAAGATTCAAATTTAAAGATTTAAATTTAAAGATTCAAATTGAAAGATTCAAATGTATTTTTTACTGAACAACACATTTTTTCCCAATTTGCTATAAAAATGTGCAGTTCCTCTTTAAGGTCGTGGTTGAACCCAGACGCTGTTTGAACTTTGACCTTGTGCCTGACGCTGTTTGTTTGTAACTGTCCCTCTCTGTCATTTAATAAATGAAACTATGACGGACTCATGAAAACATGCTCTCCATCAGGAACAGCTCTGACTTTTGAAGCTCTATGATGGACAACAAGGATGGAATTGACAAAAATCTGACATGTCCATGGATGTCGATGGGATTTCAGTGGGTCCTCTTTGGGCCGGTCCCATGGGCCTCCTGGTTATTTGGACCCTGGTACCGTCCCAGTTCATATTTGACTGAGCTGTTGGGAATTCAAAACAGTTTGATCTTGTTTTTCTTCCTTTGAACCCTAAAAGCCGGTGGGACTGGTCCTGGTTCTGCTGGGTTTCTGGTCCCAGTGTTTGGACGGCGCTGCCTTGGTGATGATGGATGGAGCTATTCTGGTTCCGGTGACCCGTTATGTAAAAACCGGTCAGAACCTAAAAATATAAGCAGGCTTCCCAGGATGATCATTGTTTGTTTGCTTCAGGGGAGACAAGTGTGACTCCGCCCCCTGCACGACAAGACTCCTCCCACTTTATGTACCTTAAAGAGGGGCCATGTGCTGCTGTAAGCCATGCCCATCAGAAAGATGTGAGTGCACGTGAACCTGGACTCTTCTTCAAGTTGAACAAACCTGAACATGTTTAGAGAATAAAAAACAAACTCACCTGCTTCAGGTGATCATAAAAACTCTTTGGTTTCTTTACGACGTGAACGTTCTCTTCTTGAAGGACTGAAGGTGTAATCAGCTGTTTTATGTCTCTGAAGCAATGTTCAGGTTTTTCAGTCTGTTCACTGAGCTGAAGAATGCAAACATATTCTGTATGCATGTGTTGTTTCGGCTGTGTGTCTCTGTGGCTTTGGCTGTGTTTATGTTGCTTTTGGCTGTGTTCCTGTGTTGTTTCGGCTGTGTGTCTCTATTGTTTGGGCTGTGTGTTTATTTTGGTTTCGGCTGTGTGTCTATGTTGTTTCGGCTGTGTCTGTGTTTTGTTTGACTGTTTATCTTGGTTTAGCTGTGTGTCTGTGTTGTTTTGGCTGTGCCTCTCTTGTTTTGACTGTATGTTTCTGGTTTCGGCTGTGTGTCTGTGTTGTTTCGGCTGTGCTTCCCTTGTTTTGGTTGTGTGTTTATGTTGGTTTCGGCTGTGTGTCTGTGTTGTTTCGGCTGTGCCTCCCTTGTTTTGGTTGTGTGTTTATGTTTGTTTCGGCTGTGTGTCTGTGTTGTTTCGGCTGTGTGATGGTCTGAACATGTGATGAAAACACATTTTCCTCTTCAGCTTGCAGACAGATTATTTTAAGGTCGGCAGAAACAGCCAAAGGTGAATTCAGGAGCAGCTTTTTAAAAACAGATTTAAAATAGAACCTTAAACTTAACGAGGAGCTTCCAGCTGTTTTTCTCTAAAGCACAACTGGAGTTTGAGATTTTATTGTGTAAAAAAAGCTATGATGGAGACAGACTCTTATTTTGAAAAGCATTCAAAAGTTTCCAACATTTTTCAGTCCGGTCATCTGGACAGTTTCATCTTTTGTGTTGAAACGTTTCTCCTTCCATCCAGAATGCTTCATCAGTCAAGGAAACACACAACAAAACTGATTCTTCCTCCAACAGCTTACTCCAAAGTGGAACAAACCAGTTCTGCTTGTGATAAGATGGTCTCACTCTTCCTTGTTGACAGTCTTACAAAACTTTCATTTTGAATTTCCAAATTGAAACTCTCTCTTCCTGT